ATATGAGTAATATTTTAGCCTGACCCAACTTGAGCTTGGCCATACAAGTCATCTTACAGTTATCAATACAAAGATATTCTTCAGTAAATTCACTACTTGAATTGGTCTCTGCTAATTTGTAAGTATCATATCAGAAACAGGTAAAGAAATCAAAATAAACATGCAACAGTGTAATATAGAAAACAGCTCTGAAGCTCCTGTGTTTATGTATGTTCTTAAAGCATTCAGATATCATCCAGAACTAACCAGAATAAAGAAATTATTGCATTGTTGCCTGAAATAGACAGGAAGCATTCAATATTTTGTTCTATCTTCTGGTAAGTCACTTTTGCTTATTTAAATATTGGATTTTTCCAGGTTCATAAATGACTTGCACAGTTCTAAATTACATTGAACAGAGTCCTTTCATTAAAAGCTACTGTTACTATAAGTAGCAGCCACTTGAAAATAAACACTGGTCCAAAATACCTAGTATGTGTGTCTTTAAATGGAGGACCAGAGCAGCTCAAAAGAACTTCCATGAAAGGTAGAGGAGTAAGTTAATAACCACTTTTATAAAGTAAGCCTAAAAGGGAAACATTTTGCACAACTGATTAATCCAATTCCAGCACTTAACATGCTATTGTGATGAGTTTTATAGAAAAACATTGGGGTGAGAGCGAGTGCCTATTAAACACACGGTAATCCACGTAAAGACAAATTCACTGTGTGATGTCACAGCAATATACTAAGAAAATCCAACCACCTTTTTAGGAGAGACAATAAATGAGATTCCTATGAGCAGAAAGGAAAGGAAGGACTGAGAACTGTTTGTTCTAGGTTCAATACTTGGCTAAGCTGGTAAGGTGCCGATTGCTATGTATGTGGCCTCAGTTTTTCCAGCTATAAAATGGGAAGAAATGCTTCCCTACTGCATTTGATATCTCAAGGCATTAAGGACTATATATATTGGCCTAAGATTCATAGGGGAAGAGTGCATCTGAAGAAGTGGGTTGTGCCCATGAAAGCTCATGACACCATCTACATGTTTTGTAAGTCTTTAAAGTGCTGCCAGTACTATTTGTTGTTTTTTAAGTTTTTCCAGTTACAAACTAACTTGGCCACCTCTTTGAAGCTACAGAAATACAAGTTGTTATATTAAAAGGGACCTGCTATTCCAATGGGGATTTGAAGGAGGGACAGGAGAGACAAAGGATATGTTTCATAAGACAAATAATGAGTTGGAGAGATCTGGAAATGCTAACTTTGGTCTCATCTTTGTTCTCTCCACCTCCCTCATGCAGTTGTGGCTCATGATTAGGTTCTGGTTTTCAACTACAGCCTCCAGATATCTCAATTGGGAGCAAGCTAGGATGTGTAGAGGACTATGACAAAATGGTCTTCAGATACCATAACTCAAAGGTGTAAACTTTCATCTTTATAGATGATCAACGATAATTTTCTTTAAAAAAAAAAAAAAAAAAAAAGAGAGAGAAGATGATAGAAAACCTAAATCATTAAGACACTCATTACCTATGTACACAAACATTCCCATTTTAAAAGACTTTTCAAAAACAAGTTCAGGCCCCTAATAATCTGTTTCTCTAGCAATAGCGGGGAACGTAAAAATTGCAGAAACTACTGCATGTGAGGTCTTTGGCCGGTGTTATGCAGGAAGTCGAACCCTGTGATAATTGTCCCTTCTGGCCTTCAACAGTGCCTGGGAGCACATATGGCAGTGGTGATCTGGGCTCTCAGATCCCCATCATGTGGGATGTCTCCTGGACGGAACCAGGAGAGTGACTGAGGAGTCTACTTGCAGCAAAACTCAGGTGGCCCTAGGGCCAGCCCGAGCACTTCCCCCCACACCTCCCACTAGGCCTCAGACATGTAGCCCATGGACATGTGTGGCCACAGTGGGGACTTCCCTCGGGGGGCCAGTCAAGGCACCGGGAGCAGGTGAGGGGCTCAGTGGGGGCCACACTCACAGGGCTATAACGCTGCTGTTTTCCTAGGAGCAGCTGGCTGTGCCTCACAGCCAGGCATGGAACAGTGTGCCATTCTGCGTACTGCACCCTTGCGGAGGTGCAGGCTCTGGCCTGAGCCCCTGGGGCCCTGGCTGGTTCCAGCCTGCATCCACCGATCCCCCCTGGTCCTGCCGGATGTGTGTGAGCAGCACGGTCCCAGGTGTGCCCCGGAGCTGCCTGCCATGGCCACGTGTCACTCGGGGTATGTCTACACTACCCCACTAGTTCGAACTAGCGGGGTAATGTAGGCATACCGCACTTGCAAATGAAGCCCGGGATTTGAATTTCCCGGGCTTCATTTGCATAAGCGGGGAGCCGCTATTTTTAAAACCCCGCTGGTTCGAACCCCGTGCAGCGCGGCTACACGGGGCACGAACTAGGTAGTTCGAACTAGGCTTCCTAGTTCGAACTACCGTTACTCCTCGTGGAATGGCTCAACGTGAGCCATGAGCCATTTAAATAGGATCCTGCTGCCTGAGCCACTGCCTGGAAATACAGTGGCACGGGCAGCAAAAAATAAATAAACAAACAAACAAACAAATAAATAAATAAATATAAATAGAAAGCCACCAGATGCAGTCCATGGTCCATATTAAAGTGTTAGGCAGGCCAGATTCCATTCCTCGGCTGCATCTTGCCCAGCCCTGGCATATAGTTAAGCATAGGCATACTTCTTTATAGTATCATGATTTTGATAAGTTTCTGTGGGTTACACCAGCAAGGAAGTATGCCCTCATCTGTGTACCGTCATTATTTTCCCCAGGACTGTAGTTCTTTACAAAAAACTGTTTTATAGGAGTGTCATGGGGCACCTGCTCCTTCCCCCCTCCTGGGTCTACAGCCTGCCCCACATGCTCCCACTGGACTGTAGCCTGACCTCTACCCCAGAGGTTAACCAGCTGCTCAACCAGAGCTAGTAATATAGAATCATGTTCTGGCCCTTTAAACCCAGGTCTGGTGGCCCACAAGCTTAAGCCCTTATACAGGCAGTCCCCGACTTATGTCGGATCCGCACTTACGAACAGGGCTTTACTCTCCCCAGAGCTCACGGGCGGCTTTGCTCCCGGGCAAACGAGCAAAGCCGCCCAGGCGGCGGCTTTGCTCGGATGTCCCTGGTCTGCTGCGGGGGTCCAGCGGCTTTGATGGACCCCCCCCCAGCAGACCAGGGAGACCGGGAGAAGCTTTTCTCGCCCCGGAGGACACAGGGCGAGAAAAGCCCTGTTCATAAGTGCGGATCCGACATAAGTCGGATCCGCGTAAGTCGGGGACTGCCTGTATATGGCTCTATGAACCTAAAAACAGTGGGAGGAAAACTTAAAAAACAACAATGTTCCTGAAGCACCTTGGGGTATGTCTACACTACCCCACTAGTTCGAACTAGCGGGGTAATGTAGGCATACCGCACTTGCAAATGAAGCCCGGGATTTGAATTTCCCGGGCTTCATTTGCATAAGCGGGGAGCCGCCATTTTTAAAACCCCGCTGGTTCGAACCCCGTGCAGCGCGGCTACACGGGGCTCGAACTAGGTAGTTCAAACTAGGATTCCTATTCCGAACTACCGGTACACCTCGTGGAACTAGCGGTACACCTCGTGGAACCAGTTCGAACTAGCGGGGTAGTGTACACATACCCCCTCAGACTTTTAAACTGTGTGAGGAATACTCCTAGAATACTCAAGGAGCTGAAAGATGAGCCTCTAGCTATCATCTTTGGAAAATCATGGGAGACAAGAGAGATTCCAGAAGACTAGAAAAGGGCAAAGATAGTGCCCATTTATATAAAAGAACATTTATAAGAACAACCCAGGAAACTACAGACCAGTTAGTTTAACTTCTGCGCCAGGCAAGATAATGGAATAAGTAATTAAGGAAATCGTCTGTAAACACTTGGAAGGTGGCAAGGTGATAGGCAGCAGCCAGCATGGATTTGTAAAGAACAAATCATGTCAAACCAATCTTTCTTTAATAGGATAACGGGTTTTGTGGATAAGGGAGAAGCAGTGGATGTGGTATACCTAGACTTTAGTAAGGTGTTTGATACAGTCTCGCATGATATTCTTATCAATAAACTAGGTAAATACAACTTGGATGGGGCTACTATAAGGGGGGTGCATAACTGACTGGATAACCGTACTCAGAGAGTAGTTATTAACAGTTCACAATCCTGCTGGAAAGGTATAACAAGTGGGGTTCTGAAGGGATCTGTTTTGGGACCAGCTCTGTTCAATATCTTCATCAACGATTTAGATATTGGAGTAGAAAGTACGCTTATTAAGTTTGCAGATGATACCAAGTTGGGAGGGGTTGCGACTAAGCTGCAGGATAGGGTCATAATTCAAAATGACCTGGACAAATTGGAGAAATGGTCTGAGGTAAATAGGATGAAGTTTAATAAAGACATATGCAAAGTGCTCTACTTAGGAAGGAACAATCAGTTTCATACATACAGAATGGGAAGCGACTGTCTGGGAAGGAGTACTGCAGAAAGGGATCTAGGGGTTATAGTGGACCACAAGCTGAATATGAGTCAGCAGCGTGATGCCGTTGCAAAGAAAGCAAACATGATTCTGGGATGCATTAACAGGTGTGTTGTGAGCAAGAAACAAGAAGTCATTCTTCTGCTCTACACTGAGCTGGTTAGGCCTTAGTTGAAGTATTGTGTCCTGTTCTGGGCACCACAATTCAAGAAAGATGTGGAGAAATTGGAGAGGGTCCAGAGAAGAGTAACAAGATTGATTAAAGGTCTAGAGAACATGACCTATGAGGGAAGGCTGAAGGAATTAGGTTTGTTTAGTTTAGAAAAGAGAAGATTGAGGGGGGACATGATAGCAGTTTTCAGATATCTAAAAGGGTGTCATAAGGAGGAGGGAGAAAACTTGTTCATCTTGGCCTCTGAGGATAGAACGAGAAGCAATGGGCTTAAACTGCAGCAAGAGAGGTTTAGGTTGGACATTAGGAAAAACTTCCTAACTGTCAGGGTTGCCAAACACTGGAATAAATTGCCCAGGGAGGTTGTGGAATCCCCATCTGTGGAGATATTTAAGAGTAGGTTAGATAAATGTCTATCAGGGATGGTCTAGACAGTATTTGGTCCGGCCATGGGGGCAGAGGACTGGATTTGATGACCTCCCGAGATCCCTTCCAGTCCTACTATTCTATGATTCTATGATTCCTGCCTGGGCTAAGCAGTTATGTGACACAATGTTACCAGCTTGAACTTCAGTCTTGGGACATAATGGGGAAGACAATTTTTAAAATGCATTTATTTATGGGTGCAGAGTATTCTGTTAGTGATTTGTGATCTGTTTCACGAACAGTCTATTCCTCTTTTCAGGGTCGATTGCAAAGGCTGCTTCTATAAGGAATCACTCAGTTCCTCCAACCTGAGTCATTCATAGGAACTAGTATGAAAATGCTTTTTAGCAGACTAAAACCACACTTAAAGAAGATACTTAGCAATCTTCATTTTTGAGGTTTATTTATTTTTTTAAATATAAGAGTGAAAAAACAAATAAATTGTAATATTCAATAGTTTAAGTTCCTACCATGCACTCTCCACTAAGGAAATCTGGGATAATTTCTTTATCAATGTAATCCAGCAGCCCTCCAGGACCTTGGTAGTCATTTCCTGCATAAATAAGGAATTTCTTTCTGGTGTTATCATCAATGAAAGGACTAACCTACAAAGAAAAATGGAATTGATCAGGTTCTATTTTGTTTTATTTCATGTTATGTAAAGTATATAGAGTAAATGAGTGAATTATTCATCTGGCTACATAAACATATTTTTCTTCTTAAGAATTTTTGTTGTAATTCCAGAAATAAAATGTCTTACAAAAATGGGGTTTCCAGATGGTAACATTTACTGCTAATAGCACAATAAAGGTTTCATGACAGCATGTACATGAAAAGTGCATATCCAGGCGCAGATACTAGAAGTGCAAACGTACCAGTGTCCAGAGGACTGGAAATACTCTGGGAGCACGCAAGATAAGAAGGCGGCCCAATGTTTCAGGGTAATTGGCTTCAACCACTTCAATGATTCTTAGTAATGCTTTGACGCCAGGTCTCCATAAATGTCGCATATTCAAGCCCTCCAAATCCACCAAACAAGTCCAAGAGCTATTAATTATAAAAAGATTTAAGAATCTCGCTGGAATCATATTTCATTATTCACACCACTGCATTTGATCATTTGAGACATGAGCACTCAATTTTGTATCATAGATCTACAATTTTGGTTGGTTTTTCAGTTGCCCCACACTTCCTTCTGTACACAGTACATCTCATCCCACCTCTTCTTCATATTTTGTGCTGCCTGTAGATGTAGGAGACTAAGATCTTGGAAGAAGGAAATTTTTCTTAGCTATAAAGTGCCATGCTTATGGCTCTGTATATAATGATCACGGTGCTCATTCTGATATAGGACGGGCATGTGAGAAAAGGATAAACAACCATTTCAATCTCTTCCTAATGCTTATGTCACAGGGTGCGTGGGAGTCACTGGGCCCTGCACCCCAGTCTGCAGTCCGATGTGACTCTCAGCCAGCAGGTAGAACAGAAGGTTTATTGATTCGCAGAGTCTCAGCATAGCACAAGATCATTGTTAACACAGGAACCAGGAGCATTCAGTGCCATTTCTCTCCGGAAGAAGGGACCCCAGGCCCTTTTCCCGCCTCCTTCCTGCTCTAAGCGTCCTCTCTCATCCTAAATTAATGGAGACTGACTCATCCCCCCCAGGCCCTAGTCCCTGGCTTGGTGTTAGACCTGCCTCTCCCTTTGTTCCCTTTCCCTGGCCCAAGATGTTATCTGCTGTCATCTGGTCCTCAGGCTTGAGAGACTGAACATACTTCCATAGTGAGTTGTGCCCAGCCTTCCCCTCCTCATCCAGATAGTGTTGCAGTGCCCAAGGAAACTGAGGCATACACACACACAGAGTTACTACAGGGCAGCATAGGACAGTAGAATCACATACAACACAACAAAGCAAACAGTGAACCCAATCCCCACTATGTCACAATTTACTACTAGCTAACAAAACACCAGAATAGTGCCTAATAAATCACTGCCTTTAGTGTGGGGTGAGAGTACTGGTTCTACATTGGGAATTTAAAATTCAGCATGCCTGTTCCTTAACACAAGTGTGTGTTTTAAAAATGTCATTGCATTTTAAGACTGCATTTTCGCATTTAGGACTCAATTTGGGATAACATTGCCTATAAAGGACAGAATTTAAACACATGTCAGTGAGACTGAAGTATGTGTTTCAGTACTTTCCAAAATCAGGCCCAGATGAAGGGGTATGAATTCAGAACTCATTCTTGTATGCTCAGTTATGTTGTACTGATTCTAGACCATTGGAATGACTCCCAAAGACATCATATGAATCAAAGTGAATTTTTTTAGTAAGTGGATCGTGTATATTTCACTTCTTTGACCTTTACATGTAAACCCCCAGGGGCAACACAAGACCATAGCAGTACATAGGAGACCCAAGTCTTATACTTAGCTTCTCACTCAATCCGGCTGGGACTGGGAGTTCTTTGTAGTCAGACTATGAGAATGGGCATGCCATGCACTAGTAAACTTTTGGGGTGCGTCTAGACTACATGGCTCCATAAACGGAGCCATGTAAAGTAATTTACTCGACACAGTCAATGAAGCGGGGATTTAAATAACCACCGCTTCATTAAAATAAAAATGGCCGCCATGCTGTGCCAACAATCAGCTGATCCGCAACTCTGTGGTCTAACTTGAACACTGCCCCACAAAAATCCATACCTCATGTTATTTCTGAAAAATAACAAAAATTCTGATGTTTCACCTTATAGGCCTGCCGAATACTTTTGTATTCTCTTCACATCGCCTCAATCCTTCTTCATTTATAGAAAGAACCTACAAAAGAGAGAGTACTGTTTTAGAGAATGTTCTAAAATGGTTGGGATTGCTGGGACTGGGGAGAAACTTGAATCTTCATAACCTGAGCCTTAGACCTTCATGGTAACCTCAGACTAGTATAAAAGGATATTTAGTGAAGACATGTAATAGTGGATTTAGGAGGAGCAATGAATGCAGAAACTTTTAGGCAATTTACAAGAAGAAAATTAAAAACATATGCACCACATTTTAGTTCTTGGATACTATGGTGAAGAATTCTGGACAAAACCTTAGGGGCCACCCTTTTCTTCTGGCAAATGAACATCAGAAAGGCATTCAGTATATTTTGTGGAGTAGAACTTGTCTCTTCAGTTATTCAGAGTCAACAAATTATGAAGACACTAGTGTGCATGATTTTCACTTCTGGGTCTCAGATTTTTGGCATGACAAAAACTCCCTAAGCTCATCCCTAAACCTCCAACTTCTATCCTTTGAACCTTCAAAGGCTCCCCTCAGAAAAGTTAAGATAATTACCAAAAAAGATTGAAAAAAAAAAGCCTTAAGCACAAATATAGCTCCACCAGAAACAGAAAGTCTGCAACCATGAGATTGGCTTGTGACCAAGGCAAAGTATTGGCTGTTCCTATTATGCTTCTGTAGAGTATGCTTGTTCTGCTTGAAAGCTGGGTACACCAACACTGAATGCACCACTATGGGATTTTCAAAGAAAATGAATTATAGTCAATTTTCCTTTTAAAATAAATACTGCATCTAAGGCTACAGTCTGGGTGTATTTTATTTTTTTAAAATAGGATACTCATACAATTCCTAGGAAGGCATTTTTTCCCCACTCTGCACATATAAAAGCATCAGGAACTATACAAACTACACAAGCTGTTTTAACTGTCAGCTCAGAACTACAGTAACTGTCATACAACTGACTTTCTGCCATCAGTCTATAGCTTGAAAGAACACTAAAGTGAACTGTTTAGGAAGATTCGATGTGTTCAAACTGAGAACAGATTGCTAAAGCATGCAGAAAAATATCTATGTGCCCATCATTCAGTTGTGGCAAGAAATTGCAAAATTAGAATAAATTTGTTAGCAATAAACAAGTAATCTCTTAAGCACTTACATATCGAAGCAAGGCTTCCTCCCCAAGAGCTCGCACTAAGCCTTTGGTATCCATCTGTCCCAACCTCAACACATACAGAGGGCGCCCATCTGAAGAGCAAGAGAAGGTAAATTAGTATTTTGTGTTAAAGTTTTAAATCTAGTCTGTGTCTTTAGAGCCAAAAAGGTTTGTTTTTACAGTACAATAGATAACCCAGTTTAACTAGATTTCTGTTAAATTCCAGTGAAGACAAACCTTTTTGACAGAGAAGACAAAGTGACTTTGTAATTTTGTTGAACTAAGACATTTAGTTGTGCTTAACAAGATTGTGGACAAAATCTGCCTCCAGTCTAAGCCAAGTGAAGGATAGATTTTTGACCCAATATCTTTCCTGGTATCGCAGATCTCTGGTCAAGTTCTGTGCCCTAAATCATTCTCTAACAATGACACTATTCTGGGTTGCCCCTAACAAGCCTTTGAAAAGATTAGTGCATTAAAGTGAGGAACAGTACTCTCTGGATCAATGCCCTATTTGCTGAAATAATGGCTTGTATCATTTTTGGGCCCTTAAGTAGCTATTCCCCACATGTTATATGGAGCTGGCACACAACCTCATAAGTGCCGGTTAGGTCTCAGGAGGGCAAGTCTGTCCCAGAGATAAGGTTCAAATGGCATCCTTACACTCAAGGAACTGCCTCTTCTTAGAAATGTGAAATACCAGAATTCTCGGATTTTTGAGGGTCATAATTGACATTTTTGGCCCTTTACAGTATCCTAATGGAGCTATATTTTAGGAATAACATATTTATCTTCTTTATGGGATGGATTTTAACTCTGTCTTAAGCTATTCCAGTACACAAGCATAAATTGCCATTTTTGATGCTGTAATATACCATGACAGACAGCCTTGTTCCCAAATGTTTTGATTTGAGCTGGATATGAGTCAACAGCGTGCTCTTGTAGCCAAGAAGGTGAAGGGAATAATAGGGTACATTAGGAGAAGCATTGCCAGCAGATCCAGAGAAGTGATTATTCCCCTTTATTTGGCTCTGGTGAGGTTACATCTGGAGTATTGTGTCCAGTTCTGGGCCTCCCACTATAAAAAGGATGTGGATGCATTGGAGAGGGTCCAGCGGAGGGTGACCAAAATTATTAGAGGGCTGGAGCACATGGCCTATGAGTAGAGACTGAGGGATTTGGGTTTGTTCCTACTTTGAAGTAGCTTTTTCCGGAGGATCGGGGCCAGTGTAGACGCTCTTTTCCGGCTTTTCTAAAAGCCGGAAAAAAGCGGCGGACATTTTTATTTAAATGCCGCGGGGGATATTTAAATCCCCCGCGGATTTCCCTATTACGACCTGTGAAATTAGCATGCCCCTTTCGGAAAAGGGGCCAGTGTAGACGTAGCCCTGGAGTCACAAACAGCAATTGCTGAAAAAAGTCTCCCTTATAAATGAGTCTGTACGATTCTTCCTCTCAGTGCAAACTGACTGAGACAGCCAATGCAGCATGAAACACTTTGGGGCTGTGTCTACACTGGCGCGATCTTGCGCAAAAGCAGCTGCTCTTGCGCAAAAACTTGCTGCCTATCTACACTAGCTGTGTGTTCTTGCACAAGTAAAATGACGTTCTAATGTATGAAATCAGGACTTCTTGCTCCAGAACTCTGACGCTCCCACTTAGGAATAAGCCCTTTTGCACAACTGTTCTTGCACAAGAGGCTAGTGTAGACAGGCAACATGAATTTCTCGTGCAAGAAAGCCCTATGGTTAAAATGGCCATCAGAGCTTTCTTGCACAAGAGAGTGTCTATACTGGCAAGGACGCTCTTATGCAAAAGCACATCTCTTGCGCAAAAGCACATACCAGTATAGATGCTCTATTGTGCAACTACTTTAACTTAAGAACTCTTGCGCTAAACAGTTTTTGTGCAAGATCACGCCAGTGTAGACGTAGCCTGGAAGTATAAGTATTAAGAGCAGGTGGGTACTTCTGGCGGTGGAAGGCAAAGAAGGGTAATGGGGGAGGGACAAGCTTTCATTATATTATTCATGATGAAAGTTTTGACCACTTGATTCTTTGGAAGAGAAGCTTTGGCCATTTTTTTCATGGAAGTACCTATATGTTGACCCTATGTTCCTGTCTCTTCATAGGGTACAATACATTTTTGGCAGTTTAATTTGGCAAATTCATGTTCATCTAAGCTTCAAGAGGTATATGTCATCTTTATTTACGCATGATTTCCTGTAGGACATTATGGAGAGAGAAATATTGTTGAACCATGCCCTTAAATTTAATATTAAATTTTTCAGTGTGGATATTTATCAGTTTGCAAGATTAAAAAAAATAAGTTGTAGAACTAAAACTCAATGGCTGCATCTAGACTGGCAAGATTTTGAGCAAATTCTTTTAACGGAAACGTTTTTCCGTTAAAAGTATTTGCGCAAGAGAGCGTCTATACTGGCATGTGCCTTTGTAGCATCCATGCCCAGTATAGATTCTGTCTTGCGCAAGAAAGCTCCGATGGCCATTTTAGCCATCGGGCTTTCTTGCACAAGAAATTAACGTTCCTGTCTACACTGGCCCTCTTGCGCAAGTATCCTTATGCCTGATCAGGAGCATCAAAGTATTTGCGCAAGAAGCACTGATTTTGTACATTACAAAGTCAGTGTTCGTGCACAAATTCTTGTGGCCAGTGTAGACAGGCGGCAAGTTTTTGCGCAAAAGCACCTGCTTTTGCGCAAAATCTTACCAGTCTAGACGCACCCAACCTGTTTAGTCTGCAGATACAGCAGTAACATTTTTCAATATTCAGTTTTAAAAGATTCTAACCTACTTGCAGAGTTTACAAAATTCAGCGTTAAAATAGAATTTTCACTTAAAGCAGAATTCACACATTATTCTGAAATGCAGTATGCAGATTTTGAAGCACTATGCAAAAAAAATCGTTAATAAAAGAACTACAAAAAAACCTAACTTCTAACAATTTACTAACCTACCCCACCCAAATGATGCATGAGGAAAGGCTGTATAACTGGGAGTATTTTATTCTTAACATTACATCAACATTTTAAAGTCACAAGGGTTTTGTTGTTTAACAATTCTTTGACTTGGGTTCTTATCAAAATAAGAACTACTTAAAAGCATAGAAGAGCCATATTGATTGTATGAGTGTTTAACAATTTATGCTCAAGTAAAAGGGATAGCTTTCATTCATTAGTGTTAACAGACCTATGCCAGAGAGCATGTTTTATAGCTACTGCTCTCTACACTGCACCGTTATTTCGAGATAACTAGAGTTATTTCAAAATAACAATATGAGCATCTACACAGCCATTCCGTTATTTTGAAATAATATTGAAATAATGGCTGGCTTACTCCAAAATGCGTAAACCTCACTCTATGTCCAAAATAGACATTTCAAAATAAGGCATGTGTAGACCACTCCACTGCTGCTATTTTAAAATAGCCCCTCACCAGGGCCATTCTAAGTTATTCCTCCCCAATGCCTCCTTGGCCTTAAAATTGATATAGCATGTCTACATTAAGAAAGCCTGCCTTGGACTAATTTTGAGGCTTCCCTGCAGTGTAGAAGTGCTATTTCGAAATAAGTGTGCAGTGTAGACATACCCTATGGCTTGCCTGTGTTATTAAAAGTGTCTTGACTTGAAGAAGAGCTTTGGGTAAGCTCAAAAGTTTGCCTCTTTCACCACCTGAAGTTGGCCCAGTAAAAGATATAGCCTCACCCTTTCTAAAATCTTGGGAGTGGACCAACATGACTACAACACTGCAACTAAAGAATTCACTCAGCTGAGGTTTGGATCACATTTTGCACGTACAAGAGGAAAGAGGGGCTTTAAGGTGGTAGAACATTAACAGATCTCAAACTGAGGAATTCTCTGAAGAATTTACATGTTGGCAAACAATATTTCAGCTAAAAACACCTAAACAATAGTCTGTTGACATGCCACAAGAGGAATTACAAGACAGCAAAGGGAATTCAAGGACAGGATTAAGAATTCAAAATACAAGGTTGTAGACCTTTTGCCCCACTCAGGAAAGTTGTCAGATACTATAGTCTACTAACAGCCTTCAGACTTGTATCTGTTTCCTTTCTTGTTATTGGTGGGCACCTATATGTATGGAAGAGGGAAACAGGAAACCAAGCCTCTCCCTTAAAATCTAGAACACATCTCCAATTTCCTTCCAAAACTTGCAAGTCGGATTGGTCCCTTTCTACGATGAACAGCAGAGTGGAAATCCTCCCTCACATACCCTTTCCATAACTTTTCAACAAGACCAGTGCACAGTAGAGGCAAGTTAGGTGGTATCTTTCACCAGCTGGACCTGAATCCTTAAGTTCTGGGGATGTGACCATAGCCCATTATACATAGAATAAATAAGAAGCTGTTTTCTTAATGAACATGCTCTATTTTGTGTTCCTGTAACTGATCTGCAATGTCAAATATTGGCAACACCATAAGCAAGTGTTTCTGAAAACAGAAATAAGATGGTTGATTATAAAAAAGAATGGTTACTTACCTGTAACTGTTGTTCTTCGAAATGTGTTGCTCATGTCCATTCGAATTAGGTGTGCGCACCGCATGCACTGTGTCTTCTGGAGCGTTTTCCCTAGAGGTACCTGTAGCGCTGGCAGGGGGCCCCCTGGAGTGGCACCACCATGGGGGGGCATAAGTACACCTGCTGGCGCTGCCCTACCTCAGTTCCTTCTTGCCGGATGCTCCGATGAAGGAGAGGTAGGGGGGCAGTCGAATGGACATGAGCAACACATCTCGAAGAAAAACAGTTACAGGTAAGTAACCGTTCTTTTCTTCTTCGAGTGGTTGCTCATGTCCATTCGAATTAGGTGACTTCCAAGCCAACCCCACTTCAAGGAGGAGGGGTCGGAGCACTCAGAAAGAGAAGTCCACGAAAGCTGAACAATCCAAACAAATTTATTCAACCAAGCGAACACAGAAAAACTGCATAAAGTGCAATGTGATACTAATAAACCATACATATTTACAATACAGAGCTGAGGACTGCAGAGCCCACTCCTGTGTCCTCCCTGGCCTGCTGTGCCAGTGCATAGTGCGCCGTAAAGGTATGGAGCG